TTTTGGACTCAATATAGCAAATAAATGACAAAATTTACCAGTAATCGCATAAACTAAGGGGAATTCCTTACACGTATACATACATATGTGTTGCGTTTCTTTGATTACTTAATTCATATATTGCGTAGATAGAACTTTGAAATTTACGATAATAGAAAAAAAAATGGATGATGAGGTAAATTAAAAGTAATTCTTTTACATCTTATAATAAGATAAAGAGGAAAAAAAGAAATTAGATTAAATTAATGTCTTATGTTTCACCATAAGGAGACATTAACAGATTATGTTGTTTTTCCTTCAGATCTATTGTTGATAAATAAATGTTCGCCACATAGATGTCTGTCATTGCATTAGAAACTTGAAATCTTGATTAATTTTTTATGAGATAAACGACAATTGTTTTAAAATTTCTCCTGAAGGTGAGCAAACTCACAAAAAATCTGTAAAATCCAGATATAAACTTCAAAGATTTTGCAAGATATGCAAATGTCTTTTCAATTCATACAAAGTCCGTGTTCGATTGGATTTTTGATGTTTGATGGAACTCTCATCCTTGCGAATATTGGGATAGAAGCAGAGACTTGGCTTATGCGATACCACATCTAATAACAATAAGTAAGAACATCATAGTCGAGCAACGTCGACTTCTACATACCCTACGCCACTTCGCCTAGCCTACTGTTATTCGGCTGTCTTGGTAATAAAGCACCAAGAATTTCATGAAACCCCGCCATATTGAAAGATTACATTTTCTCTGCATAAAAGAGTTTGCGTTTTGTAATAGCGCCTATATATGTTTGGGGTCCATAAAAATGCGATTTATGTGATCCACATTCCCTACCGTTAATTTTTTTACTAAAACATTACTATGAATTAATTATCATAATAAAATATTAAAAACTAAAGCTTCTTATATAGAGTAGAGCCAGGAAACAGGGCCTTGCGGTTCCACTTAATTTTTTTATTCAATTACTGTCATGAACGAATTTTCATCACAAAAAAAAAATTTGCAATTGGGCTTTTTTTGACTTTTAAGGGTTTTATGTTTCATGAGAATTCTCTTATGCCGTGGTATCCAATAAGTATATCTACGTAGTCCCAATTCGGATAGACAGACGGCCAGATGAAACGATGGACAGATCGACAGACAATCTTATATTGATTCAGAAAATAGTTTGGAATCGATCGGATAAAAAGTGAGCGCTATCTTAAATCCTTTGGTATGTTGCATACATGTACGCACACTAAATGTATCCTTGCAACACAAGTGATGTTAGGTATAATAAAAATTAAAATGTTCTTATAATAAAATAATAACGGTAATAAAATAATAGCAGTAAATAACATTTTAATAATGAGGTATCCAAAGTTCGTCGTAAAGTCATTCATTAGTCTTCCTTCCTTCTTCTTTTATTTTTCTTTTTAATTGCAATTGTTTTTGTTTTCAACTGTGTTAATTGTTCTGTTTTCCAATTAATATTATTGTGCAATTATCTCTGCCACCACCATTGCGAACTATGGCCATCAATTTGGATTAATTTCTATTTACGCCATAAGACGATTGTGCTAATTAGACGCCCTCAGCGTAACATACGCGTGTTTGCTTTTAATCGTTTACAAAGGGAAATTTTTATAGCCTAAAGCTAATATCGCCATCGCCATAATATGTAAAATGAAACAGCAATTAATCCTTGCGTAAAACTGTAAACGTCCACAACCCACTTGCTTGCTGTGTGCTAACGGGGTTTTTGCGTGTGCGAGTAATCTTACCTGACTAAATTCATTGACACTAAAACGTTGTAATGATTTCCGTTTAAATGTTGATATGCCTGTCCATCATACATCAAATCATCTAATTATCTGATTTTTATAATTATGATAATTTTACATTTCTCTCAGCGATTGCGATAAATCAATGTAACTGTAATGCGTTGCCTTTAGATGGGTTACAATGCGTTATTTGACGATTTTCACAAACCGCCACAAGGGTATATTAGATTTGTAATGCAACATTCATTCACTCTAACAACAGAATGCAAACTTTTGATTCATGACAATCATGTTGTGGAACTTTTCGTTTAGCAAACAACATGAGAGAAAGAAAAACACTCAACTTCTGATTGATATCAATACTCACCTCAGCCCATATCTCTCTCTAATCCCTATTCACTTAGCGATTCCATTACAACTCTCAAAATAGGACCGACAAGCTATGCGATTTTTAGATGAACGCGGGGTTTAGATCCGCTCGAGTCAAGTCACGTTTGTGCATTTATTTATCGTTTCAACGTCGCACTACTAATGCATTTCGTCTGACATTGATTCCGCACAACAAGCGTGCGTACAATAACTAAAAAACAAGGCAAAAATCTTTGATTTTCATTAATTTGGGTCAATATCTAAAAAATTTTTTTAAACAAAATTTTAACCAATTTGTAGTTAGTGTTTGGGTAGAATGATTTCAATCACTTTTGTATTGAAATTTAAATGTTTTTAACAAGCTTTAGATAAATAATTGCCATGGATTATATATAAAGGCATAAATATTGTAATCATCTACTTAAAATTAATTCTGGGCCGATCACAACTATCATTAAATTTAATGAAAACCAAGTCCAACTGAGTCCGCAAAGCTTGCAAACTTAGAATGAATGAAAAAAAAAAAAAAAAATAACCAACCACTTCGACTAGTCTATGTAGAATTTTCAACATAGTTTCTTTGACTTGTAAATATTTCTCTTGGAATATTGATTCCTATAAATATCTAATATATATGCTCTCCGCAAAATAAAAATATTAATGAAACTTTTGTAAAACATTCTTTATTTCATTGGCAGCAATTAGGACAAGTACAAGTGAATTTGATTCTGCTCTTATTCGGCAAGATCACGAATGCAAAAAGACGAAATAGCGAGGATGTCAAGACGAACGAGTATGCAATTATTATGGGAAGGGATGTATGTCAGAAACGAGTGATGATCCTCGTGTGAAAGAAATGCAAAATTAATTCGGATCAAAATATTTTTCAAAGAGGAAAGCGTGGTCTCTATTGATTTTAAACTGTCTTTATTTTTTAGATATGATAGGTATTCTTATCAGATATTCAATGTCTCGGCAAATTTACTGATATTCCACATATGCCGATTTCTCACGTCTTAAGTTTTCTAGTTTCGGTTCAACCTCTTCACGCAACAAAGTATTAATCTCATGGACTGCAGCAGAACCATTTATCCACTTCGTCCCATTTAACAGATATTCTCATGCAGTTTCTGATACTTCGTCCCATTTAACAGATGAGAGAGATTTTTTATTCACCATTTCTCTTATTTATTTATTTATTTATTACTTATTATTTTTTTTTCTAGTTATCGATAGAAATCATATTGTCTTATAGGTCGCATTACGTTTTGGTTTTATCAAATCTAGTATTATTCAAGTTGGACGGTACTAATGTCATTTACAATGAGAAACTTACGAGTAAGTAAGAACAGCGGCTAAAAAATTTGTGAACGCAGGTTCAAATCACAGTGCGGTAGACTTTATAGACTTTATTATAGCCGTAGCTCTATCGATAAAGACGTGACACTTACCTATTGCACAAACACTCACTAAGCTGCGACTACTTTCCTGTCTCTTTCTCCTTCCTCAGTTCTTTCTGGCGCCTACATACGCAAAGAGACGTCATCCCCCTGAGTGATTGGTCATATTAAAAGCAAAAAAAAAAAAACATTTGAAGAAAGTTTTGAAAGCAACGAGAGCAACATAGTAATATTGATTTGAATTAGAAAAATTTTCAGAAAATCAGAAAACTGTCGTTGAAGAGCATAGCAATCTTTCCATTATGTCAGTTTGAATACTTTCAACGCTACCTCTATCTCTGTAAGTTATTGCTTTCTCTGTCTATTGTTCCACATACTTTAAAAACTATTTAAAGCTATTTAATTAAGACGAAGCGATAAATATTTTTTTTTAAGTTAAGTAACCTGCAGTTAAATCCATAACACAAGTTTATTGAAAGAATTCTAAAGAAATATTAAGTAGATCGCTATGATATGCAATTATTTATGTTAGATAAGGTTTGAACATAACGCAGTTATAGAATTAGTTCAACATGATTTCAAAATAACGCAAAACGTCTCCATAAATTTTACTTTCGAGATTAGCAAGATATACATCGTATTCACAGTTAAGTTCAATAGATACCATTAACTCGAATGTATCTAAAGCTGGCGTTTTTGTTATTTTAGGAGTAATTTTAAGCGCCTTAAAAAGTTCGGTAACCTTTGCTTGATCAGAATCGTAATCCTTTGACAATATATTGTTGGCTTCGGCTTTCAAACATTTATGGAATTTTGTAAAGTAATTGTGACGTTCAGAAAGTGGTACGCCTGGAGTTTCACCACCTAATAGGGATTCGGTGAGTTCCCGATAAGCTTTAAATTTGAGATAACGTTCACCTTCAACGTCCTCCATTGTATCATCCAGCGAAATTAGTCGCATGTCGTGATCGAGAGATTCCGTGCCGCGCTATTTAAAATAAATGTCACAAAAGAAAGTTTATGTTGATAACATCAAACAACTTACGTTTTTTATCAACGCTAGCAAGGCTAAAGCGGCCTTTTGACGAGCGTCTTTCTTCTTTGTAGATTTACCAAACCTTCTAATAGACGCTAAGGAGCAGAGCACAATAAATTCTGGGGAATTCGGTGTACCACCATCTTGTATCATCTCAAATGTCGGCAATGGATGTTGATGCTGAACACAATAATCCCTCAGCATTGCAATCTTATCTTCATTTGACGTTTCCGTTTGGTCAATTTCCGAGAACTCATCAATATCGGGACCCTGTAAACGCAGTTTCTTAATTATATTAAAAGCAGCTAAGTGTTTTGCGTCGCTTTTCGAACGTCCGTTGCCATCGACTTCAACATCCATCAGCTTAACCCTACATACAAAGGAACCCCTCTCAGAATCAATCCATTCGTAAGTAGGAGCGGATATTTTATTTTTTGCACAATATTCCTGCAAAGCTGACACAGACGATTTCCCGACCATTATGCACGATGTGAAAGAATTTTTTTCTTACCGCAATTAATGCGATTGCGAAATTCAAAGTTTTCTATTGCGACGTCAACAAATCGACTGTTCAAATTTTGATTGCGTCAGATTTAATCTAGTGCTCAGACACAGGTGAAAAACGAAGAAAGAAACGAACGAATTATATTTAGTCGGATGATTTTTTTTTCGTATTACTTTTTCAGATGGCTTGCTGCGTTGAATAAAAAAAGTTCAATGTGAACAGGTTCTTTTATGTTCAGATTATTAATATTAATTAGGTAGGCAAGACGTACCGCAACCTAGAAGCTCTGTTTTTCTCGCCCATACTCCTAGCCATCCAGTTGTAAAATTTTTATGCCACCTTCTTTGGACCGGCGTAGTAAAAAGCTCGCCAAACAATAGGTGTCTGATCCTGCAGATGGCCTCACATTCACATAGAATATCATAGGACTCGTCCCTTGGCTGAATCTACATGAATCTGTATCAAAGATATCAATGTTTTGCTGATGATACATGGGGGAACAAGCAACCTAAACCAAAATGGATGAAGAACAAGCAACCTACACCAAAAAAATAAACGTTTGATTTTCTCAAATTTATTTATATATTTATTTATATCTAGTGAATTGGACGCGCATGCTTGACTATCCAATTATGGCCCATGTAGAAGTCCATGACTAAACGTAGGTCGCTTCTTCTTAGTTCAAGAAAATTTATGAATCTTTTTGCCTGCCGTTGTCCTGCACATTGCTTCCATCGGCAGTCCGCGTTATTTTGCGACCATTGCGATACCAGCCTTTTAATGTGGTTTCTTGGTACGCCACAGAACGGTTCAGGATCTGCCAATACCGCTTTTGGCTCCTCTGTTAGCTAGACAGGCAGCTCTTTCGTTGTTCTCAACATCCGAATGTCCAGGCAGTCAAATGGGGTGCATATCATTGTTCCTTCCTAGCTCATTCAGTGTTTAAAGGCAATCCAGCACTAATCTGGACGTTATCATTCGCCCCCTTAGGAACTTCAAAGCGGCTAGGCAGATCCGCTCTCTCCTACACTACCTTCTTAAGATTTATTTTATTGAAATCCGCAAAATTCAATAGCAGCACGCAATGCTCTTCGCTATGACATTAACAAGAGTAAAAGTATTTTATAATGAGTGCACTAACAATCGGAAAGTGGAGTCATTACCTCCATACAATATTATATTAGTATACAATAATTTATATAAAAAAATATTTGTCATAAAATACAAGATTTTTTTATCATATTATGGAACGGCCCGGGTATAAAGTCATTTAACTCAACAAGACCAATGCGTTCCAAATTTATGCGATGCATGTATAGAGATAGAGATAGAAACGGAAAAAAAGAGATAGAGATAGAGAGAGATAGAGATAGAGAGAGAGAGAGGGAGAATAGGTGAGTTTTGAACTAGCACGAATCCCTTAAGTTAAGTAGATATTGAGAGTTTTCATATAATCACTTATTTTATTCAAAAAGCACTTTCTCACTACTTCATACAGCTTGGACGTATTTTCTAAGGGAGACCTTTTTTTAATATGTTGTGAAAAATAATTTATTATATCTGAAGTTTCTGGATATTTTTTTCGGTTTCTGCAGTGGTTCCTATCTATCGCATAAGAACAGATTTGCTCGCCTTATATGGGATAAGGCTGAACTGAACTAAAGCTCATATAAAACTCCATTTCATTTTTGTTCGAGTATTTAACAAGTTTCTTGTTGGTTTCCAAACTCTTGTTGGTTTCCAAACCCTTCAAGTTTCTTGTAAGGGTTTCCAAATATATGCTTTTGTAAATGTCATAAGAAGTGTTACAGGAGGACTCGCAATCTAAGAATTGCGATTAATATGTCATGGACATAAAAAACTACAGAATTCGAATTATCTCGATCGGATCCTCGTAGATTTATCAGACTTCTATGCATTTCCCCTAGCTTAACATACCCTTACGTGCCCTTAGATGTGTGGCCTATAAATATTGACAAAGCGAAAAAAGACGTACTTGGAAGTAATCACTGGTGTTGTAAGGCGAGCCGTTGCTTCGCCTGATCACGAAAAGATTCTATTTTCTACAAGCTAATCATGCGTGTGAAGATATTTCCTACGAAAAATCATCCAGTCGAATATCTTCAACATACGAGCCAGAGATGATTGCTTTTATTGCTTTGTTTTCCCGATTCGATATTATGACTTCTCATAAAAGGAAATTAAGAGAAGAATTTCGCAACGATTACGGATAATGCTTAGGTAAGTTCTTGGAGGGCCAGTTGCAGTATTAATACAAGTATTTTGTTGTAGGTAAAGATAATATAAAACTTAGTAATTAATCAAAAATTTTGAGCTTTCCCTATACTTTTCTGACATAATGCCAAATGATTCTTAAATTTATGTTGTGTATACATTTTATAAAATACATTTTATAAAATGGAATTCATTGCAGGAAAAATCAATAACTAGTGAACAACAAAACAGCTGATCGAAATGGAATGTAGTGCAGGAGTCCTTCTCGTAGTAAACTGTGGCATCATTTTAATTGTGTCATTCCATTCATAATTTATTATAGGTGTAGATTAAATGACAACCGCGTATGTAACGAACCCAACACAAACCCAGGACAACGTTTGAACCTAATAAATGTTTTCCCGAGCAGTTAGGTTTGCCATATTTATGCTTTGTGCACAAACAGTTAAGAACGGAAAATCGACAAATGAAACATGAGAAGTTTTTATGTGAGGAGTCGTTCAATCGATTTGAAAACGCATGGGAGGATTTATCATGCAATCTGATGAGACACACATGTGTCACAAACGAGTAGAGGCATAAAATCGTATTCCGAATGAACGCTTCCTAGTCGAATTTACCGTAATGCCATTCGAGAAGATTATATCTGTTGTCTTCTGGAATAAATTTGAAATCGTTCATCTAGACCTTTGAAAGCACAATCTTAAACAAAAAAAGCCCTTAGAAATATTTCTATGAAAAAGTTCCAAAGAATAAAACCGTTTGATTCCTGCGGACGTACATTCATATACTCGCAAATCTGTGGGAGATTAATAATCATTATCAGCAGTTAACACAAACGATTCGAGTTGCTAAATATACTTATTCATGATATCATGGGGCATATGAATTTTCATTTGTCTTTTGACTTTCTTCAATAATTTGGTAGCAAAAACAAACAGCCTACTATTCGTAGCTCTTATGTATATTGACTTCATTTAATCATGTTTGCTTGCATATATGTGAATGCGTGCGTGTTTCGAATTCAAATTGCTTAATTTACTAAATAACCCAGAGAAAATTTGCTAATAACCAAAAGAGAGACAATTTACCTAATGATTGTTTGTTGCTTCTCATGGTCCACAAAATAAAAAAAAAAAAAAAAAATTTGCCATATAAGTTTTGCATTAACATCTTTGAACTTCACGTACATAGAAGCACCTATGCACGCACAGACACGCACATAATTAAGTGTTTAAATTGCTTTGAAACCTGATAAATGTTTACGTGAGTATATTTAACAACGATGAAGTCGAACACTATTAACCAAATTAACAGTAAAAGCAAAGCAAGTCATCACTAACACTTGTGCTATAGCATGCACACACCTTATCTACATAAGGCCAAAAAAATTTGATAGTCAATATCGTTCAAATTGACTACAACAGGGCTGCACAGATTTAAAAAGAAAATTGGACGATGATAATTTCTAATTCGATAAATTCATGAGTTTGTTGCCTTCTGTTGAAAATCAAAACAGGAACAGATTATATATTTTTACTTTACATCCAGGTGCCGTGAACGGGATCTTGGTATCCCACGTCTCCACGTAAGATCCTTCCTGATCTAAGTCCACCCCCTATAAGTAGCATGCTCTGAGTGACTAACATTTAAAACAAAAACTATCAACAAGCTCGCGAACTTCTCTATCCATAGTGCTTCCTGTTCATCGTCCGTAAAGGAAGCGTGCTCTCAAACGGAAACGAAAACGGGCCCATGGATTTCTTGCTTCTCTTTCTTTCTCTCCCTCTCTCTCTCTCTCTCTCTCTCTCTCTTTAATCTTTTGCGACTATCATCTGATCATCCGATCTGTAAAGAAAATGTCCTCAGTAGCTGATAAGTAGGCTCATAAGGATTAAAGAATTTTAACTGTGTCTCTGTGTACATGGGTGTGTTTGTGCGCGTGAGTGTGCGTATCTTATAATCTACGTTATAGATCAAGCAAAAGTTTTACGTAATTCTGAATGTTCACCAAGCAGAAGTTCAAGGTGCAAAAGTAGTTTCACTCGGCCAACCGCGACGCACGCATATCCCACAAATTTTACGTATTATTGGAAATGAAGACTACTTACAATTTATTCCAAGATGGATGAAACTTTTTGATTTATTTTGCCTATAATATAACTCTTCTACCTATTAGCATGATCATCTGCAAAGCTTGCAATAAATGGTTTGAAAACTTCAATAATAACGATAATTATATCTGTAAATGTTCGTCTTTCGTATAATTTTTCAATTAATACAAACACTACTTTTTAAGGATTAAAGGCTTACATGCATGACTGGACGTTATTACCCAAAATGTTAACAGTTGTTAGTCAATTTGTTACAATTGTCAACACGTACAAGTTATAGCATTCACTCACTACGAAAGTAATCGCTTTTCACCATCATGTTTACAAAATCATATCATTATGATCATCTAAGTACTTTTGCTTAGAAAGTGTAACCACTTTATCTCCTATATACAAATCCTACAAAATGTAGTATAATAGTTAATAGCTCCAGTACATATTCAGAACACAGAAAAAGGAATAGCAAAACATTTACGCATATGAGATTGCAAAAAAAAAGAAGGTAACTACTACAAGTCTTTATGTTTAGTGACGATAAGCAACAATTTTTTGGAAATCTTTAAATTCCAAATAAATAACTAATTTATATTCCTTTTAAGGCTGTTATCTTGGACAGCAATCATTTT